TACGCTCCGATCTATTTCGGGCAAAAATCAACCAGCTGGTGTCGACTGACTGGCTACGTACATTCATACGTACGTATATACACTCACGTATTAGCCTTTTGCCGCAAAGTGTCTCTTCGGGCTAGTGGCGGACAAGCATTTGCAACAACAATATGATTGGCAACATTAAAAGATTCACGAAAACAGCATCAGCAACCATAACAACAACAACAGCAACAGCAACAAGCGGACATTATTGGCGCATGCTGGGCCAGCAGCCACCAGCCACTAACTATTCTTCAGCCAGCTGGCTAGAGCGACTCGACCAATGCGGCAGGCAGTCAACCATCCAAGCAGCCAGCCAGCCAGCCTGCCAGCCAGCCAGCTAAACAACCAGTTCATCAGTTGGTTAGCCATTTGAGGAGCATAGTTAGAAAAAAATTAGATGAAAAAAAGAAAACTTTGCGATTGTGCAGATACATATACTGCACTGGCGTACATACTCGCGTATCTGTGCACAGCCATTCGAGCCAAATAATAAAAATGAACCTGCCATGCAACCAAATGTGGCTATTGCCTGGTTGTATTAGAGCGTTTTTTTTTTGTTTTTGTTTTGCCTTTTACTTTTACTATTTCATCGCTCTGGCGACTGCAGCAATTTGCTTGCTATTGGCAAAATCGCGTTGCTGATTTTCAAGAATTTTCACAGATGCCACCGAAAGCTTGAGTAGGCGCCCACTCGCTGGTTGGTTGCTATGATCTAAAAAGTAAATGTATAAAAATGTAGGCTGTAGTAACTGCGATACCTGTACAGCAGTGTGGAGGGAAGGATGTGAAGGCGTAGAAGTACGGTTTAGGAAAGACATGCAATGTAACTGCGTGAACCTTGAACAAGAATCTTTCACAGAGCCAAAACTATAAAGACTCCTTTCTACTAGTTCCTGCTAATATTTATTATAAATTTTAAATTTTGTGAGTGGCTATGTGGGTATGTTTGTTGCACTTTCATTAGAATTGTTGATATTAGATATGTACATATATCGATCCCGGGGGATCCTCGCTTAAAGGGCCTTAATTTAGAGATTCGGCAACTGGTAAATCAGTCTAAGCGGGGAAGTTGGGAGGAGCATTTGAAGACTTACAACTTAGCCTCTGAGTAAGTAAGTTCGGGTCAACCGTGAGTTATGTCACTAACCCGACGAGACGCGACGACAGAGTGCAAATTTCAATCAATGGTAGCGCCTCGTCGGACCAAAAAAAAATGCGTAAGCTATTTTAGCCTGCAATTCACATTGCATCCTTCGGTAGATAAGGCCAAACGTCGAGTGACCAATATGTTGCACAAACTGCCCTAAAACAGTTCACCACCTACTTTCATCAGCGATGAAGTCATGTTGGCCATTGGGAAGGCGGAAGCCTCCACAGCCGTTGGAACCGAATTGGACGGAATTTGCGTGCTGATGCTGAAACATTTGGGCCCCACGGGAATAGCATATCTCACCAAGATCCTCAACTAGTCAATGGACACTCGCATCATTCCCGATGTGGGGAAAATGGGGAGTTTGGTTCCACTGCTGAAACCGGGGAAACCAGCCAACAAAGCAGAATCGTATCGGCCGATAATGCTCCTTTATCCCGTCGTGAAGTCTCGGACTTATCAAAGTCGTTTGACACCGTTTGTCATTCCATGCTGCTAGAAGGCATTGAGACTTATTCTGTTCCACAAAGTCAGACGCTGGTTGGGGAATTTATGAGTGGTCGACAGTTGTCAGTAATCATCCGAGTTCAAACCTCAAAACCTAAAAGAATTATCAAGAGGTGTGCCAGGCTGTACCTTCTGATATCGACTGAGTACCCCCTGCACAGCGTGGCCGAAATACTTCTCATAAGGGAGCATAACAAAATGCTTAGCAAGCAGTTCCTGGTGGAATGTCACGGACGTGAACCCTTAACAGACCCCCTTTGCTCGAGGAGGAACCTACGCCCAGACACATCAGATGGCACGTATTCTAATACATGAACGCGGTCCTCGCGTGCATTGACCAACCAACCGCATCCATAGGGATTCGGTAACCACCCACCACGACTACGGTGCCGTGAATGCCGTCATCGGAGCCCAATCACCACCCGTAGCAGACACAGTGTTTCAACTGCGAGGGAGACCCGCGTTACTCTAGCCCAACTACGGTCTGGATATTTCAGCCGTCTCAACAGATACCTGTCCAAACTCGTTCCCAATATACATAATGAGTGTCCGGCATGTGGGGACTGTCCGCTGGTGGGTAGCAAGCACCTCAAGAATCTCGTGAACTGGATCTAGTAATGTGTTCTAAGCTGCAAGTTTATTTTCAAGCACAAACCAATGCTTCGTAAAGAGTTCGACAAGATATGTGCTGGCCTTAGGAGAGGCATGACGAGGATTGAAAATTTTATCTTATTACATTAAACGAGCAATTCTTGGATATATGCATATCCATAGGGTTCTCGGAAACGGCTCGAAGGATTTGGATAAAATTTTGTACACAGATAATGTTTTAGATTTTAAGGTTCTCTGAATAGGCAATATCTCCGAGAAGACTCGTATAAGGTTGCCACCTATTCGAAATTAGTTACAAATTTATTAAAACATCATAACATGGGTATCAAATGGAAGGTATTTTAAAGATCTCTAATTCAAAAATAGTCTTAATAAGGTTGCCACCTATTTTGAATCGCATACATATTTATTTAATTTTTTGTTTAGAAAAAAAAGGTAAAATATTAATATTCATGGGTACCAAGAGAAGGTTCTTAAACAATGCTTTCCCCATACACAAATTGTTATGTCTTACGATAATAGTGTAAGGTTGCCACTTATTTTCGAGTCTACACAATTTATCTAAAACATCACAATATGGTTATCAAATAAAAGGTATTGTTGAGAACTTTGGTCAGAAAATATTTTCCATCAGGGTTGCCACGCCTCCTTGTAATACAAATTTTTATTTTGTTAATCTCAATCAACATTTTTGTATATATACATACATATTTATATGTTATGTATACACATACGCTCAAGATATGTACCATTCATTCCAGCGTATTTCGGAATAGGGTTGCCTACTAAATTTTAGCGTAATAGGCAGCATACACGGTGCGTCTGACTCGCGAGTCATTTGTGTACGTATTGACTCGCCTTTGACTACATACAGTTGAATCATTCAGAGTCATCACGGGAGTCATGTTGGTGTAACTAACACATATTTATTTTCACAAACACATCCACACCGACTCACGAGACAGACGCACTGTGTGTGCCGCCTATAAGGAATTTACTTAATAGATATGGAAATCCTATTTATTTTTTTTTTTGTTTATTTCCAAAATATTTTTGTAAAGCTATCCAAATCTTGAAAACTTTAAAAAGTATATACACTCCGGGCAAAGCTCGGTCAACCTGGTACTAGAATCATGAAAGCAAAAAATATGGATATGGTTGCGCTAATTACTTTTTAAAGCAGTTTCTCAAAGTTTAAGAAAACCAGACGGCACGGACACCAACTCACCCATTTCCAGGCTATATGATTTAGATTGCTGATATTCTATCACCAATCCAATTTCACGCCCGGGAAGGTACGCCTCAGGCAAATAAAAGTATATTTATAAAAAAAAAAAATAGTTCTGTTTCCGCCCGGGGGCCTTCCGCGTGTTAGGCGGATGTGATAACCACTACACCACGGAAACAATTACCACGGCGTTGTCAAAGACGCTACAAGTCTTGCAATGAAAGCTTTTATATACATACACACAAAGCTCATTTTCTGTTTCCATGTGTATTTATAACCGCGTGTACAGAGGAAAAGCTCATTCTGCCCATTACTGCATTACATACATATTTACTATTGACTTGCCAATAAAAGAACGCATTGGTTCAACAAAACTTACGCAATTTATATCATACCAATAAGAATAAAATCAGTTTTATTTACTACATAAATTACATCACTCAATGGAAAATTCTTGTTTATCCTATTTCATGACAATCCAATATAATACAATTTTAAAAAAATATATGTGGTATAAAAAAAAAATAAAATATTTAGATCTGTTTCCGCCCGGGATCGAACCGGGGGCCTTCCGCGTGTTAGGCGGATGTGATAACCACTACACCACGGAAACAGCTGGATGCCGGCAGTCAAAGTCGCCATCTAACTATTTGCCAACAACAAAGGTGTACACACGTACATATGTAAGTATGTATGTGTATGGCATTGACCAAACAAACAAAGATTTTTAAACAGCTGCTAAAAGCTACTTCGGCGTTTCTATACGAACTTAAGTTGTTTTCTTTGCCTACAATAATAAATTATTAACAATAAATATAAGTTTATTATTGAATCGTGGGTGGCATCTTTAGTACATATAACTGCAATACATATTTCGCTAGCTTAGAGTGAAAAGTTGCTAAGTCCACTTTTTATGAAAACTCATATTTTGATATAGGAGGCTAGAGAAATTGAATACGCATCGTTTCGAAAACTATAAAGGTACTTGTTTTATTTTTTCCTCTTCATGAGCAATAAAAGGAAAATTTGCTAAGTCCAAAAGAAGCACCACAAATCCGATAAGGCGAAAATAATACTACATCTTTTACTAAAAATATAAAATCCTTCTGATTCTTATAAAGTTTTGCCGTGCTTTAAACGCGCAAATTGTTTGATTCAAAGTCTTGCGAAATAGTTAAAGAAAATTGCTATAGGAAGATTTTTTCCTCTCCTGTAAAATTTTTAAAATGGGACTTAGCAACTTTTCTTTCTAAGCTAGCGATTTACTATTCACTATATTACAAAATTAACGCCATTTATAGAAAGAAGAAAGAAACAAATCTTTTACATCGTTCAATGTTGAATCTATTATTTTCCGAGGTATTTCATAAAAATCCAATAGAATCAAAAACAAAAAAAAAATTCATTACAAAAAAAAAGCAAAAATTCGAATCGCAGTCGCTTTCTATGCATTCTATGTTTTTAGATGACGTTTTCTCTGATATATCCTGTTACGACTACGTGCCATAAATTCTTTCATTGCAATTTCGAAAGATTTCTTATCACTAAAATCAAAAACATCTAAATGGAAAAAGAATTCGAATTTAAGTACACATAAATCAATAAAAATAAATTAAAATTTATCTACCGAAAATCATATCCGAAATTTGTGTGTATCCTTTTAAAGGCAATTTTCCATGTAGACCATCCCAATTAAAAAGGAATAGGAAGTCATCGGTGTATATTTT